TTTTTTTTTTGTCCTATGAAAAACCAAAGACATTTTTCAGGAATTTCTGTTTTTTTTTTTTTATTACAATCTCTGAACAGTTACACCACCTACAGTAGGCAATTTTGACATTAATCAGAAAATAATCAAAACTGGTTTTAATTCAGAAATAAAAAAGCATGTTTATCACAACAATCTTTTTTTTATATATATATATATAATTTTATGTTGTAATTCCATATAATTGTATTAGTTCATGATATGGGCCCATATGCAAATCCAGCCATTTGGCTTTAATGTCAGAGAGGTTTTTAGGTTCTGTTTTGCAACTCTTGACTCTCAGGAACACTCTGTGCAGTGTTGATAGAAGAGAGCATCTGTTAGTCATTTTAAAGAGATTGCCTACCTGCATGTATATATGATTGCTTGTTTAGTTTAATTACTTTAACTGTCATAAAACATTGTTTGTACACGTTAGGCAGCTGCCGTTACTCATCAATAATTCAGCATCATTTGGCTTGCACATTTAAAGCGTTCTATTGACCAAATCCTCTTTTCTCTTCTCACTTGACATCAGCTGGCTGAACCCTCTTTTCCGTATCGGATCAAAGAGAAGACTTGAAGAAGATGACATGTATAAAGTGCTTCCGGAGGATGGGTCCAAGAGACTCGGAGAGGAACTGCAGAGGTGAGTGAGCCACTGGGAATAAACCGACTAATCAACAGGCTGTTCTCAAACAAACCCTCCGAGTATTTATTGTGAAATATGAGAACGCAGGATAGTGCGGTTCCCGTTAGCTGTTGGGAAGGAGATGGCCCATACCAGTTCGTGCATTATGCAATGTTAAGTTCTTGTGAATATCTCTGTAATCATTCATACATTAACCATGTATGCAAATTGAAATGAAGGAAGGAGTTTAGGCTATTTTAGTATTCCTAGAAGGAGCTGTGGTTGGGCACGTGGGATCCTGGCGTTGATCCTGGTGGTGTGGATTAAGATCAGGCCCGGTAACCCAGGAAACTGTATGTTCAAAATCCACAAGGGGTGTCTCATGAGCTACCACAACTCTGCCTTGCAACAGATTTCCCCAGAAGGACTGTAGCTGTAGGCAAAATATGCTGTATGTTTGCTTGGATAATCAACCAGGTGAAAATCAAAGTCAGATCACTTACATAAGCTATAAAACATCTCTTTTCCAGCAACATCATGTTTGTAGCACAAAAGGTGTGGGACAAGTTAGACCATAAAATTTTAATATTTAGGGTTGGGTTGCATTGATAATCTGTGGAGCCAGAACAGAAGGGAAGATCATTTGGAAGGTTCTACTGTTGCTATTACAGGAGCAGAAGTTTTGGCAGAGGGTACAGACAGCAGAGCGGGAGGTTAACGAGCCGTCTGGCTTTCCTGCTTACTTTCATTTTGTAGCGCACAGGAAGTTACCCTGAAACTAAAGCGACAGACTACTTATTATGTAAACAAGCTCTACTGAAGTTACTACTCTTTTAAAAAAGTACTTACAAGCAGCTAATTAAAAGTAATACACTGTGTGTGTGTGTGTGTGTGTGTGTATATATATATATATATATATATATTAGACTTGCCGCGATAGACGGTGCTGACGGTGATAACACTGTAACACTGTAACACCGGTTACGTCACTTGTCTACCACGGCACCGACCCCCACTGTCGTTTAGATTTTTCTATAGTAATAAAAATCATATAGTTCAGTAAAAGAACAGACACTACAATTAAAAACTGAACGTGGCTGCTCAATGTAGCGTGCCGAACGACAGTCGCATCACAGATTTGGGGTGCGTTTCCCAAAAGCAACTATGGTCGCAAGTTCCGTCGTTACCAATAGAGTTCAATGGAACGAACCACCATAGCTAGCTAACGATGCTTTTGGGAAACGCACCCCAGATTTCATTTATCCAGTGAGGAGAGTGAGTCAAGCTGACTGAAAAGAAGAGTGGGGTGAGACAGACAACACGATCACGGATTATTTAGTTTCTAAACGAAATGCAAAAGCGCCTGTTTGGCAGTATTTTGGATTTTGAAAAGCCTGTTGACTTTTGCCGTTTATCTAAGGTGATTTTGGAAGTTTTTTTTTAAACATTCGTTTAATTGGTTCCACAGTGTTTGCTGATTTGTACTTTATTTAAACTGTGTAATTTATTTATTTTATTTGACATCAAGGTGTATGCCGTGCCTTTCTTATTCGTCTTGCTAATAAACTTTCTACGTTTCATTTTTATTTGGTTATATATTATACATGTTTATTTATTTCCAGTTTTGTATAGGCTACCTATTTAAATTTTATGTAACTTATTTGTTATTTTGTTGTTGCATTCAAGTAATTGACGTCGAATTGCCGCTAATTCGAAAGTGAAAGTAAAATGCGCAAGGTGCTTTTAAGCTATTTAAAAGTGAAGGAAAGCGAGGAAAAGATCTAGTGTATGCCGAACCATGTGTGGAGAACCGTACGGTTCGATTTTTTACAGAGAACCGTTGCACCCCTAATATATGTGTGTGTGTGTATATGAAAAAGAAATGAGTATATTTTTAAGTATGGCACAAAAACAAAGAAATTCAAAGACAAAAAACTAAGAAATGTACAGCAGCATTTGACTAAATATTATACTATTTTGTAAAATAATTTTTATTTTTTATTTTATAAATTGTATTAATTTAATTTATATATTACTGCTAAAAGGTGAAAAATGCTCTACCAACATCACTTATCTAAAACTGATTTAATGCCTTTGAGTTGACTGTGCATCTTATTTGTCTATAGCTGAAACTTGAAGTCAACATAAAATCAAATTAACTTTAACCTTAAATGAACTTTAATACAGTCCTCCTTGTCTTATTGCAAGCAGTTTTCAGTTTTCACATTGTCTCTGTAAACCTTAATTTAAATACAGTTGGTCTGAAACATCTTTCCTTTTTGGCTTCTAGGCAATGCAGCCTTTTGGATAATGGATAAAGCGTTTTGCTGTTTGGAGAAACATCAAATAACATTTAGACATTGTTTAGGCTACTTTTTAAGTGATGCCACCTTTCTAAAAGCTTGCCAATAGTTTTCACAATTATTTTGATTTATTTATTTATTGTTAATCAATTATTATTTATCTATCCCACTAATTATTATGTAATAAAACATTAAAGAAAGAAAAGCCTCCTCAAAAGGGTAATTTCCTCTGCTTCATCTATTAACATTACATTTATGCATTTGGCAGGCACTTTTTTTTAAAGCAACCTGCACTGCATTCAAAGTATACATTTTTATCAGTTCATGTATTCCCTGGCAATCAAAACCATTGAATGGTCCTTTTTTAAAATCCAGTAAATTCCCAGATACTTAGCAAGTGTCAAGTTTTATCTTATCAACTTTTTTTTTCTATTTAAACATCCTATTTCACTCAGAAATGCGTAATGTTTCAGAAGTATAATGGGTTGTGTAATATGGGTCATTTAAGTATTCATGAGTATTTGTTACTGTGCAATCCAAGATTTCATGGTTGTTATTTGCTCTTTTAGTCTTGATTTCTGCAAATAAAACGCACTGTAACATAAAGACTAGGGGTGCTCCGATTGATCGGCTACCGATCACTATCGGCCGATAATCACGTTGGGATGATTGATCGGCGGTCTCTAAAAAGGCCGATCTCCAAAAACCGATCTCAAGCTGATGACGCTGCCGTGAGAGTTTTGGCACGACATGCAGCGGCACCGTCTCAGTCTCTGTCCGGCACGGGTGAAATTATTATAATGCTGAAGGTGAGGTACTCACCTTCATATTTCTACATTAAATAACTTGTAAAGTAATTTGAAAACCTTGTTTGAGACGTAATTTCACAAACAGTATGAGCGCTCTCTCTTTCTCTCTCAAAATACGCAAATGGCTTCAAATCACCACACCATCACATTTTTCATTCTTGCCAGCATTTAATCATTCAGCGCTTGCGCGCTCTCCTGGAGACCGTGCACTCATGCACACTCGCAGCGCACACACATAATGCCAAGTTCACATTATTCCATTTGCATTGCATACGTGGTGTGTATTGTTTCCGCTCTCATGTTAATGGATTAAAGCATTCACTTTACACAGCTGCACTGCGTTCAGGAGCAGTGCGTCTGCACTCTAGCAGTGCAGAGATTGTTTCTGCACAGAGTCTATTTTTGCTGTGCTGCAAGCGCTGAATTAAAGTGACAGCGCATTGTTTGCAGTAAATATGAACATGGATTGACACGAAAATGTAGTAATTACACCATAAATGCATATAATTAAAGTCTACTGTGTTTCACTGTCAACACATGGCTTTTTGGCTAGGTTTAAAGGGAAAGCACTTTTAGATAAACAAGGCAATAATAGATGGCACTTTAGATGGTAATTCAGATTTAAATGCAAATGGAAAGGCAGTAGAGCTTACTATTTCTGTCAATGGTAAGTTTGTGATAACGTAAGAAAAGTAGTTTAAATGTTTTGCCACTTGCTTGAGCAATTTAGTGACGTGACATGTCGCCAAGTATGGTTACCCATACTCGGAATTAGTGCTCTGCATTTATCCCATCCAAAGTGCACACACACAGCAGTGAACACACACACACCGTGAACACACACCCGGAGCAGTGGGCAGCCATTTTTTTGCTGCGGCGCCCGGGGAATTTAATATATAAATCTAGAAGTAAATGCAAAATTAAAATGCATTGAATAATGTGTTGCTTATATTTATTGTTTAAACATGTCTGTGAAAGATTGTATTACTGTACTGTGTAAAAGTAAAGAATTGCAATGCTGAAAAAGCAATTCCAGTGACAATGTTTGGATTTGAAATCAGGAGCGGTCTCCTGTGTGAAAGCTGCTTCTCCTCTCACAAGAGTCACCTAAGAGGGGAATTCCCCCCATTTTCAAAAATGAAATTCAGGCCCTGAATAAATGTCTAAAATTCCTGATTGGAGTATCACTATAAATAGTTATAAATGATAAATAGAAGGCTTTAAAAAGATCGGTATCGGCAGATACTGCTGTCTGTGATCGGTGATCGGCCTCAAAAATCGGAGCACCCCTAATAAAGCCTATTGCTTTCTATGATTAGCCTATCATGCAGATAAGTTTTTTTCCTTCACCTTGAGGTTTTATTACATAGGAACAGATAAGCAGATAAATCATTCGCTGACCCTTTGTACAGCGGCGAAAACCACTGATAATCAGCAGTCTCCTGCAAAGTTTTTATCCCCAGCCGTTAAAGCATGGAAATGAATGACACAATCCTGTCATTCATTAAAAAGGACCTCCACACAGAGCGTTTCTCCAGCCTCTAATCATGCACTTTGAAATGGATCAGTGCTGGTTCGTTTAGCACAGAGCTCTGGGATATGACACTAATTAGTGAAGCTTTTATTGTGATCAGTTGCATGGAGCGCAGTGGGGCCGAGGCGTAAACACAAATGTTCTGCCTTGAAGTAAACTGTTATTTGCAGATGTAGAATTTACTGCCGGACGTTACTGCTGGAAAACATCAACTGAAGAGGCTTAGCAGCTGTTTTGAAAATTTTCCTGATTTGGCTAAATGCTTTAGTTTCTGCTCAGGATTTGTTTCTTATGTGCCTTGTATGCTGTACATTTATATATCATGTTGTTTACAAGATATACTCTTGTGACCTGTTCCACCGGGTGGCCCTTGTGGTCGAGGACTAAGCGTTATTTGGTACGCATTTTTTATCCTTTTAAGCTGTGTAATAAATAATCAAGATTTATGAATCAAAAAAGCCAACACAAAATGTCTTCATAGAGATATCTTTTGTAGACTAAGTGTTGAATTTTTCTGTACGTTGAAGTCATCATACCATTATGTTTTATGTGAGATGAATAGACCTGGGCGATAAAACGGTATCGATATTTATCGACGGTACACCTTCTTCGATAACGATATAAAAAATGTTCGATGCTATGAGTGACGCAGACAGCACACACAAGCACGAACACATGCTGAATTGAGTGCTGTGCCTGCCTGTGATGAGGAGATTGTGAATAAAAAAATTTATTATTTAAATATTTTATTTAAAATAAACATTTGCATTTGAATGTTAGGAGTGCGTCAGGGAGCGTCATCAGTGGTGCACGAGATGCGGGGATATTGATGTAAGTGACGTTGTTGCATTTTAATGTTTTGTTAGTCTAGCCCATGAGACGCGCCACTGCTGTGTTATGCTTTCAAAATATTTGAGAAATATAGAAGCTCAATGCAGAGAAGGTCTTGAATGAGTTAAAACCAAAACCAAGCCATTCACACAGACCGCAAATTCAGCGCATTTTTTAGACGGACAAGTACGACTGCTGCACTCGCGTCTCACACAAGAAATGTAGCCATGCAAAGTTAAAACAGTTTAAACTTTTAGAAAACACACGTTGCGAATTTGTGGAGGTTTATTCCTTTTCACTGCGTCTCTTATGTTTTTAAATGCAATCTTCGTGATGGGCGATTCGGCTCTTTGTTTTAAGCAATGCATAAATACATGATGCTGTTTTGTTCATAATTGTTTATGCAATTTATGAAATTATATTTGATTTATGAGTTACATTAATTAGACCTATTTTTTATAGACACTTATTTCCTTGCGTTGACAATTTAAATGTGCTGCGTTATTTTGCTCATTGCACCCTCCTGTGGCCTCAGGAGACAAGCCAAAAGTTTCCTGAAGACCTATTTAATCTGCATATAAAACATTAGAAATTAGATATTTTAATTTAATTTTAATAGTTTAATTTTTATTGTGTGTTTGACTGTTAAAACAAAAATATAATATTTGTTGTTTGTCTCAATAAATTGGGTTAATTTAAAAATACAGTGGTTAAATTTAAACTTTTTTTTTCATTGCTCGGTTTTAAAAAAGATTATAAAAATGTCAATAATTATAGATACCGAACGATATGAAACATTATATCGTTGATACATTTTTTTGCTATATCGCCCAGCCCTAAGATGACACAATGTGGGTAATAAAAGAGGATTATAATTGTTTTACGACATCCTATTTCTCTCTTTGTCAGCATAATCGATTAAGCCTTACTCATCTTTTTCTTTTTCCCACACTCATAGCTACTGGGACCAAGAAGTGGAAAAAGCAACCAAAGAACTCAGGACACCCAAACTCACCAAAGCCATTATCAGGTGCTACTGGAGATCATATGCAGTACTGGGAGTGTTCACTCTTATAGAGGTACGTTTTGATCCAGGATGTGCCTGATGTTTTATGTGGTACACAAAGTGAAGGCAGTGAAGCTCCCCTCTAGTTAACTATAAATCTGGTGTGTATTCACATTAAACTTTAAACTGAAACCATTGATGGCTGAATGACAAAGCACATTTTATAAGTTCTGTTGATGATTCACTGTCTTAACATGCATCACCTGAAGTGTTGTTTAGACAAAAGCATCACACGACACTCAGTTTTAAGAGTGCTTATAGACAATTTGATTAGGATTTAGTTGAAACACATCCAACAAGATTCAAGAGAGATGGTGGTCATAAACCTGCTGTCCCAGGGGTCTAGTAACCAATTGGTAGTTTGTGTGAAAAATAATAGTTCACACAAATATAGAAAAAATGCATATTTCTTGCCTTCTAGGCAACTACTGGATGCTGTCTTTCATTAGATTGTCTGATGGAAAAGTGCTGCCAGGACATTCTGCAAAATATCTCCTTCTTTGTTTTGCAGAATTACATGAGGGTGCCAAATTTAACATTTTTGTCAAACTTTTTCTATAATAAGGCAATGCACATGAAAATGTGTTATACACTAGTGGATGTCTGTGCACTGTTCACCTCACTCGAATGCAAACTTTTTGTTGCAATTTATTGTACAGTACAGACACTTACAGTGTACTTTCACAAGAAAGTACCAAGAAATATAAAGTAACTACTTGAAATGAATATGGGTTAAGGCTAGGTTTATGGTTAAGTTCAGGATTAGTGTCTAGTTATAATAGAAAGTACATAGCACTAGTGGGCCTGGAGTTAATAAAATATTCTTAAGTAAAATTGTTGATTTTTTTGGTGGGAAATTAATCGTTTAGATGAATCGATAATTTAGTCGATAGATTAATCGAAATAAAAATAGTCGTTAGTGGCAGCCCTCTCCATTAATTCCTGCTTGTAGTAATTTAATGTGTATATATTTTGAAAGCATTGAATCGCTATAGAAAATGAGATTCATTCGGTTCTTAGCGTTTTAAATCGATTACTGTCCGAAATCGACGATTCAAAAATCCATGTTTCAAGATCGATGCATTGCATCATCAGAGTTTGTAATCGATGCATCGAGAAAACGAGTGAATCGTTACACCCCTACTTTCGGTCTGTGCAAATTGAATGCTTTAAACACAAATTTGTGATTTCAAATGATGCTGCACTTGCCCACTGTCATATTCATTTAATTTTCACTGTGTGCTGTATGTATGATGTGTGTTATGAGTGTTACCTTGGCTTTATTTGAAAAAATATGATTCCCAATGCACACAAACTTCCCAGAATACTGAGTGCTCTGTTGGTTACAGTTTACTTCCATTTTAATTATAAAAATATTTATTTATTTGTGGAAAATAGGGCTGGGTTTTGACACACATTTCATTCGATTCGATTCTCATTCACAAGATTTTGATTCGATTACCAAATCGATTTGATTCAATATCGATTATTTTGGATAAATATCAGGTACAGTATATGGCAAATTTTCTCAAGGAAAATAAATCTCTCAACTAATGCTGTAAAATATACATGAGAGTCAGTTGGTACTACATTACTATAATATTGAAGGTTAAAATTGACTGATTTGTTAAAATTACACTTAATAAAGTTTTTAAAATAATAAAGTTACAATTACATAACATTTCTACTTCAATTCGTTTTTTTTTTTAATATAAACATAATGGTGGCTGTCATAAAAATTTGATGGATTTATTCAAACATAAATTAAACTTTGAAGAACAGTACATTTTATAATTAATATGTTATATGGTGCATATATTTAGTAGGGTTGGGGCAATATATCGATATGGTGATATATCGTTGTCCTTCTCCATGCGGTATGAGAATAGGTATCTGGTGCCAAACATCGATATTTTAATTATTACAATAAGGCACTCTATATAGATTTCCCTGCTCCCAGTCTAAAAATGCGTGGAAATTGCGGCCGCGCCATTTCCAACTTCTTTCCAAAGCGCTCTGAGCAACCACGAGGAACCGAAGGATAAACAGATTTCCAGCCACTGTATTAGCTCTACTGCTATATATATATATATGTTTATGGAAATGAGAACTAAAAAACTGCCCCGGAAAAGCTATCAGTGTGGACCATAGGCACTGATCACGTTATTACTGCAGAGGGCATATTCAGTCCATGAGTAGCCTAACCTCTCCGCTCGGATCGCAGGTGGATTTCCCTCACTAACTATATGAGTGAGAGAGTGCCACCGGCGTGTCAACAAAACTGGATGCCCTCCCTCTCTCAGATATTGCAAGTGCAATATGCAGTGGGCACCGACTGGCAGAAACACAAATCTGCACCTATGGCATAGACGACCAAACAAAACCTCGTCAGAGCCGTAATGCGGCGCAGAAGTGTGCAGTGTGTGTGCTTGCTGCACGTCTACATTTGAAATAACGAACCTGAGCGCGCAAAAGAGGCGATGTGAACGGCAATTTTTTTACTGAGCGAGTTTCTTTCTTCTGTTGAACACAAAAAAATATATTTTGAAGAATGTTGGTAACCAAACAGTGGACGGTAGCCATTCCATAGTATTTTTTTCCATACTAAGGAAGTCAATGGCTGCCGTCAACATAATTTATTAAAATGTTAATAAATGGCTACATTTTTAAAGGTTTATGAATTCAGCTGATTTGATATCCACTTTGATTATCAGAATTTTATTAAACCAATAAAACAGATTCCAGAAAAATTTAAACACGGATTTTGGAAAACAAATAAAACAGAATTTGGGGTTCTATTTGCCTACATGTAGAACAAGACTGTAAAAAAAGGCTACCACAATTTCCTCGTATAATAAAGATAAGGGTGTGGATGTTTTTAGGAATGTGAACATCTAATCCGTTCAGCCTCATATTGTTCTTACAAGTACAAAATGTCATTTATTTCACATTGTTATTATCGGATGTTTCTTCTTCCCCATTATAGGAGGCGATTAAAGTGATTCAACCAGTGTTTTTGGGAAAACTCATTCAGTATTTTGAGAGATCTGAGCCTGATAACATGGCAGCGTTGTATGAAGCTTATGGATATGCAGCAGGCATCTCTCTCTCCGCTCTGGGTCTGGCTTTACTCCACCACCTCTACTTTTACCACGTCCTAAGAGCTGGAATGAAAATCCGCATTGCAATGTGTCACATGATCTACAGAAAGGTTAGATTTTCTTAAAAACACAAACCTGATTTTCCAGAAAAAAAATTCTGAGGAGGTGCCAAGTTACAGTGATAGTACCAGATGGTAGCACCAGGATTATTAATAAGTACCATATTTGTATAACATGATGTTTACATGGGAATCTGAGGTTCTGTCTTTTTTCCCCAAGTGTGCCACATCTCTCGCTCTCTCTCTCTCTCTCTCTTTCTTTTAATAAAGTGTCTGTAGATATGAGCAATAGGAATGATTTATTTATTTTTAGGCTTGGCTAAGGGCAATTCCTTATCACGGTATTTCCCACAAACCTTCTGAATTGTTTCTTCTTTTAGGCGTTGTGCCTTAGTGCCACAGCCATGGGCCAGACAACCACCGGGCAGATTGTTAACCTTTTGTCGAATGACGTCAACAAGTTCGATGAGGTAGGAAATTTCCAGAACTTCTTTGTCTTCCTCTTAAGGTCACTCACAGGTTTTTTTTTAATTGGAATTAAACGTGTTGCTTGTTTAGTCAGGGAATTGTTTTGTGTAGTTAATTTTCCAGTTAAAACAGCCAAAGGCAGCACGAGTGATTTACCGTAAAGGGCTTGTGTTACTTGGTAACAGATCGGCCAGCGTTCAGAGTAGCATGAGAGGTCTCAAATAGGTCATCTTAACCTTATGTGTGTTTACGATCTGACTTTGGGTTATTGGGAAATTGAAATGATTAGTTAAACATTTTAAACTGTTTTTATGTGTTGTGGTTTCTAACTCACTCATTAATCAGGCCAGTGGAGTCTCTAGCAGTTGAGTTATTATCATTATGTGATAGATAGCTGTGTGTTATGTATTATTTTAACGCAGCTCGGTAAACACATGACATAATTTCAAACCATGTTCATACTGTCTGAGTAGTTATTCTGTGTATTTGTAGTAGGAATGTCATTGTTCTACATCAGTATTTGGAGGTGTTTCGCTTGCATTTACCAGCAGACATCAAAGGGGTTCTGTGAAGAATTCCAGGAAGTTCGGTTTTTGTTCTGTCCAAGTTACCTGAAATTAGAACTTTGAAGTTTAAGCTCCTTTTTTGTAGATTCTAAAAATAATCTCTTGGGCTGTTTGTAATGTGAAATTGCAAAAGCAGTACACCATGTCCCAAGTACTACACTAAATTGTCTCATGAACTATAACATGCTACGTTTGTTCTACATCAGTATTTGGAGGTGTTTCTCTTGCATTTACCAGCAGACATCAAAGGGGTTCTGTGAAGAATTCCAGGAAGTTCGGGAAGTTTTTGTTCTGTCCAAGTTACCTGAAATTAGAACTTTGAAGTTTAAGCTCCTTTTTTGTAGATTCTAAAAATAATCTCTTGGGCTGTTTGTAATGTGAAATTGCAAAAGCAGTACACCATGTCCCAAGTACTACACTAAATTGTCTCATGAACTATAACATGCTACGTTATGGTTTTGTGCTGCTATGTAAGAGCTTATTAAATGATCGCTGATGATGGAATCCAGATGTTGGTTTTATTTCAAAAATGTGCATTTTATATAATCTAAACTTCAAACCTGATGTACTATATAAAAACCACACAATTGTTGGTGGTTAATAGTTTTGTACTTATGTAGTCTATAGCATATATGGTACTCCATGGTACCATATCATGTACTATGATATTTACATGGTAATCCAAGAAACATGCATTACTGTTGAAAAGTTTGGGGTCAGTAAGATTTGTTTTGTTTTTTGAAAGAAAGTAATGCTTTTATTCAGTAAGAATGCAAAAAGTGACAGTAAATACATTTATGATGTTACAAAAGATTTATTTTTCACTTTAACTTACCTATCCTTTATTTTTCAAAGAATCCTGAAAAAAAGTATCATCGTTTCCACAAATATTACTTATCATTTTTATCAATGTATTAAGCAGCACAACTGTTTTCAACATTGATAATAATTAGAAATGTTTTTTGAGCAGCATATCAGCATATTAGAATGATTTCTGAAGGGTCATGTGATGCTGAAGACTGGAGTAATGATGCTGAAAATTCAACTTTGTCATAACAGGAATCAATTACATTTTAAAAATATTCTAATAGAAAATGGTTATTTTAAATTGTAATAATATTTCACAATATTACTGTATTTTTGATCAAATAATTGCAGCTTTGGTAAGCACAAAAGATATTCAAAAACAATTAATAAATCTGATCAACTCCAAACTTTTGAATAGTTGTGTTTGTACGTGTCCAAAAAACGTGGTGGTACTATAGTGCCACATCCAAACCCCATTTTTGGTTGGTGAAGTAGTATGATATAATTATCTGTTGTTTTGTTCTCATGTCTTTTCCCAGGTGACTATTTTTCTGCACTACTTGTGGGTGGGGCCTCTGCAAGCCGCAGCTGTGATTGGTCTGCTTTGGCAAGAGATCGGAGCATCATGCCTTGCGGGCATGGCCGTTTTAATCTTTCTTATGCCCCTTCAGACCATGTTTGGGAAACTGTTTTCAAAGTACAGGTACAATCTCAGGATTACTCTGACAGGGAAATTTTTTAATTGAATCAGGGAAAATAAATTATAAGAAGCTGAAAGGTTTAATCACAATCACAAGATGCTCTTCATGTCATGGTGAATAGTGTCAAGTAGGCTTCAGGCTTCAAGTAGGCTTTATTCTTAAATAAATTGCATGTGCGTAGATTTACGTAATCTAGAAATAATTAATAGCTCAAAAAAACAGTTCAAGAGCATGAAGAACTTTGCATGCTGAAGATGGTGCATTCTTTTGTTCTAGTAGTTATTCTGTCTATAATGAGCTGTTATTCATCTCCAATCATCATCAAACTATTCATGTATAACATTGCAAAAAAAAAAAAGTTGACCTAACCCCCCGGAGCCATGTGGACTTCTTTTATAATGGATTGGTTAAATTTTTTGGACTTAAAATTTTGGGCTACCATCCACTCCCATTATAAAGCTTGGAAGAGCAAGGATGTTTTTTAATATAACTCTGATTGTATTCATCTGAAAGAAGAAAGTCATGTACATATAGGATGGTTTGAGGGTAAGTAAATCATGGGGTAATTTTCATTTTTGGGTGAACTAACCCTTTAAGTTAACTCAACTAGCAACCGACAACTTTAGTTCATCTAATTAAGTTAGTGTACTGAGTGTTAACAGATCTGTCAGAGCAACCAAAGATTTTTAGCATTTAGCAATGCTAATCTTTTTTTAACAATCCTCTTTCTTTTAGATTTGTTTATTTTCAAAGCCTTCTACATAGTATGGGTAGTAGGGATGCACCGATACTGGTCTCCTGTACTCGTACTCGTACCTGTTAAAATGCCCCGAAACCAAACGCCGATACCACGCAGCATGTGATAAGTGCCATATTCAGACAAAGAAACACCCAACAACAGACAGCAGAGAGGAGTTAAGGATGTCTACTACGAAGTATATGTACACTCTAAAAAAAATGCTGGGTTTTTTCAACCCAATGTTGGGTCAAATATGGACTAACCCAACTGTTCAGTTAAAAAGCTAATTTAAAAATGTAACCAAAATTTAACCCAACAGTTGTGTTAGTCCATATTTTACCCAACATTGGGTTCAAACAACCCAGCATTTTTTAGAGTCTATGCAATGAATATAATGTTAAACATTCAGTATTAACGCCTGTATAGCTGATGTGCGCGAGCTGATAAACAAAGCACGCTGAGTGGATTGAGCGAATATATCTTTCTCACAGACATCACTGGAAAGTTTGTAGTTCGGTCGGATATGTCAAAAACAAGTAAGTAAAACAATGCACAAGTTACTTAACGGTAGGGAGAAAGAGAGAGAGGGCGAGAGAGAGAGAGCGTGCTCAATTCTGTTGTGTGATCTTTGATGTTCACTTAGCACACGCATCATTTGGATTAAAACGAAATCGTAAAAGTAAAACCATTCATAGGGGCATTCACTATAAACATCAATTATTTTCAATCTTAGGCATACGAGGCGTTTTGCTTGCTTGAGTGTTTCTGCATTACATGAGTGGCGTTGCAATATAAATCGCAGCACGTTTCAGATGAAAAAACGCGGCTTCTATT